TAGTGAAATTTTTTTTGTTCATGCTTTAAACAGAAGCTGATCTGTTAGCTATTAGCAACAAGTGGTTTACTTGCATTGGTAGGAAATTAAATTAAATGATTCCTGAGTTCCATGTCACTTGTGATTTTATACCCTCAATAGCTTTGGCATAGAAACTGTTGTTCTGTTGTATTGTTGTTTTTAAGAATACTCACATTCAGGCAGGCATCTCTGAAATGATAAAGATACATTTGGTTATTATGATTCCAAAATGCCCTAAAAGTAAAATAATAGATATCCCCTGTTATAAGTATAAAAAATCCTTAATTGTAATTAGGATCATGATGATGTTATTTCAGAGTAAACACAGAGAAACTATTTTGTCTTCCTGAGAACTAATCATTAACATACAAACTTACATAGCAGTGATGCAACACTACATGTTGAGCATGTGGAATCTTGTTTCACATAGTTGATTTTGAAACGGCATGTTTGAGAATATCTTGCAGTGCAAGAACAAATAATTCAATACAAGATCAAGTAAAACTAGACTGTTCCCCTGGAAACTCTAATAATGATGTAAAACTTAAATCATTTAATCAGACTCAAGGGAGAAGACTCTTGAGAGCTGGAAAACTTTAAAGCAATTTAAAAAGAAGCTGACAGAAAACAAGTGGCTAGATGCTATTCACTGATGACACAGGCATGAACTTGCAGACAGAAATGATTACTGATAAATAGTACTGGTGAATGATGTCCATCAGTTTAAGGAGAGCCAGAAGCCATTGAAAGATTGAATCACACAGCAAGAAATGCCTTTGTCCTATGCTTCTGTTGCTTTTCAATATCCCATGCTAGGGATTCATAATATAAAATCACATAAGTACTACTAAGCATGGACAAATATGGGCAGATTAAAAGAGTTTAAATGGCCTTAAGCACTAATAAGCTGTTGTTATAATCCTCCTAGTTGAGTATCAGTCACAGCAGTGAATGCAGACTTATTTTTCTGGTTTAGTTGGTTTTCCACTGTAATATAATTTGCCTTCAGTGGTAAATAATCATTTTAGAAAACAAGGTACTCGGGTAGTTAGCTGGTGCAGTAACTCGTGGCTTTATTTATTTATTTATTTTGTCACGCAATTATAAGATAACAGGTATAAGTATAAGAATGGTTATGAATATATGAAATGGATACATATAAGAAAAAAAGATACAATAGGACAGGGACGGTAAGCACGTTGGTGCGCTTATGCCCACCCCCTACAGACCTCTTAGGAAAGGGATGAGGTCAATAGTAGACAGTTTAAGGTTAAAGTTTTTGGGGTTTGGGGAAGAAACCACAGAGTCGAGTATTCCAGACATTGACCTCTTTGTTACTGAAGTCGTATTTCCTGCAATCAAGTTTGGTGCGGTTTACCTTGAATTTGTATCTATTGTGTGCTCTTGTATTGTTATAGTTTAAGCTGAAGTATTCATTGACAGGTAAGACATTGCAATTTTTTTATTTTATGTACTATACTTAGATCGGACTGAAGGCGGTGCAGTTCTAGGTTGTCTAGGTCTAGAATTTCAAGTCTGGTGGCATAAGGTATTCTGCAATGAGTAGAGGAGCGGAGAACTCTTGTGAAATATTTCTGGACTTCCTCAAGTGTATTAATATCAGATACGTAATGCGGGTTCCAGACTGATGAGCTGTATTCAAGCATTGGTCTAGCAAATGTTTTGTATGCACTAGTTAGTAGTGTGATATTACCGGAGAAAAAGCTATGCAGGATTAGGTTAACAACTCTTAATGCCTTTTTGGTTATGTAGTTACAGTGGGCTCTAGCACTTAGATAATTTGAGATGAGTACTCCGAGGTCCTTGACAGAGTTGGGATCATCAACAAGGTCTTGACTATTCAGCTTGTAATTTTTTTCTGATTTTTTTTGCCAATATGTAAGACAGCACATTTATTTGTTGAGTTTTGAAGTTGCCATTTGTTTGACCATTCTGGTCGAGGTCTTTTTGAAGGGTAGCAGTATTGTTAGTGGTGTTGAATAGCTTTACACCATCAGTGAAAAGAACACAGTTGCTCTTGATATGATCACAGAGGTCATTTATGTAGAGTATGAAGAGAGTTGGTTCTAGGGGGACACCACTGTTGAATTTGATAGGATGCTCCCAATTTTGACCATTTGTTGTCTGTTTGACAGGAATGCTTCTATCCGGTTATGCAGGTGTCCAGAGATACCATAAGATTTTAGTTTTAGGAGTAGTTTGTTGTGTACCACTGAATCAAAGGCTTTACAGAAGTCTATGTAAATTGCGTCTATTGCTTTGCCCTGATCGAGTTGTGTAGTCCATATGTTTTTGCAGTGTAAGAGTTGCAGATTATAGGATAGGGTTTTTTTTTGAAGCCAAATTGTTTATTAGAGAGTAGGTTGTTTGTCTCTAAGTGGAGGATGATGGATTGGTTAATAATTGATTCCATGACTTTACAGGTGACGCAGCATAAAGAGATTGGTCTGTAAGTTTCAACTAGGCTGGGGTCTCCCTTTTTGAAGATGGGGATGACTGTGGCTAGTGACCATAGGTTTGGCATAGGTTTACTTCTTATCTTTCATTATGGCCACATTGGAATCAACAGAATAGTTAGTAAGATTCTTGATTAATTGCTATGTATCCATATATTCTTATTGGCCAGAAAAATGTTTGAGATCTGACAAGATAACATCAAGAGTTGAGTGGTTTAGAAGGGAGTGGAAGATGGCTAAAAGAATGATCAAACAATGATTTTAGCATATGATAGTTGCTAATTGATAAAGTTATTCTAATCTGCCTCACAAATAGTCTGTATTGTATCTGCATAACCTCTTCTTTTCCCCACTTTATTCCAGTTTACCTATTGAATTAAAAACTCACAGTGAACTATAACTCACAAGAATGTATACTTTTTAATAACATTTGTTAGTCTGAAATGGTACTACAAGACTTCTTTTGATGTTTATCTATTAATGATTTAATACAAGTCTCCTCCTACAATGGCATTCTGCAATGTCACCTGAGGCTTTTTCCCATCACCTATGTCACCTCACATTTGGATGTTACATTCAGGCAGGTCCAGCACTGATTGAATTCGCATTGCTGCTTGAAATACTGTTTTTCCCTATGTAAGTGGTACCTATTTATCTACTTGCATGTAACATGCTTTCAAACTGCTAGGTTAGCAGACGCTGAGGCAAGTGATGGGAGTTCTCTCATCATACAGTGTTTAAACCTGAACCACTTCAGACCTTCTCTAGCATCATAAGCCACTGAATCACTGTGCCTCAAGAATAACACATCTTGTAGCTTAAAACATCTGGCTGAATTTGGGAAGTTTCTTCATCTCTGTTTGCAAAACGTGGTCTAAGGAATAGCTGAGGAGATTTTGAAAATTTTACACTTATGAACCATTTTTATTGGTTCTAACAAACTTAACCCACTCTGATTTTTAGATTTAAGTAAAAGGAAAAATGAATTCTGATGACACAATGCTAGGGGGAGGCCAAAACCATTTTGATTGATAGAAAAGAAAAGCTGGATCAAATCAATCCAAACAAGCATACAAAGGGGAGGACCAAAAACACTTAATTATATATGGATTTTAAAATACCTATTAGATGTTCATCTATTTTATTGCTATTATGACATAAATCTTGAATGGAGACAACATAGAAATTATGGAAATTATGGAATAATTATTTAAATTAACCATCTAATATTGCATTTCAGTTCATTATATTATGTGGGACTCCATTTTGCTTGAAATACACCTGATGTGCATTCCAGCTCCTTTAATCTATTTCAGTCCTGCTATTATTATAACAGAGATTATTGTTTCCTCTAATCACTTTGCTAATCTTCTTGGAATGGGATGTATCTCTCTATCAGGAGGGCTCAGGTCTATTTAAACTGACAGGTTATTTATTTCTTTTTAACCAGAAAATAAAAGTTCATTCAAGAGAATGACTGAATAACATGTGAATTGGGATACGCTACTAATTTAATAGTGAAATATGATAATTGAAGAAAAAAATTATATTTGTAAAATAAAAGCTTGCTATGAAGTTTAGTACAACAGGCAAATCGCCATTTTGGGAAGAATGCAAGTAAATGTATTTCCTTCAAAAGCTTGAAAAATTGAAAGCAGCTATTGTTAAACATTCATATCTTGATGTAATAGTTAGACTGAATTAGAAGTATAATTATCTAGATTCATGAACCTTTAAGTTATTAATTTATTTATCAAATTTATATGGTTGTCTATCTCATGAAAAATGACTATGGGCGGCATACAACCCAGTAAATGAATAAAATAGTCATTAGTTAAAACCATTAAATCATGGCTACAGTGGCTAGGTTTATGATATGTTAGCCCAACGCCAATAAGACATACTTTGCTTTAGCAAACTAATCTTTGTGTCAGAGATTATGGAATATAAAGAAAATCAACAAAATGATTTAGATTTAATCTCATCTCTATTTCTGAATAACTGACATAATTTGAAATAAGCAACAAGATTGTTATTTTACAGATTGGTTGCTCTCTTGGGGGGAAACCATTTGATAAGTTCATAGATGGTTCGAATTAGGTCAACAAAATGAGGTTATAAATAACTTTTAATCAGGCAGCATTCATATTAGTAGATTAGCAGCAGAGACCAACCTGGGAGTTCCAACTAAAGGATTGCACTGAGATATTGGGAGGACTCTGTGCTACGTATGTGGGAATCTTTGAAATGACCTTAGATATTTTTATCTTGTAATTCAGGGAAGGTGCATGAAGGTGAAACAGTGAGAAAATTCCTCAACAAGATTGAATAGAGGCTGCAATTAAAAAGAGGAGAAGAAATGAGGAGAGGAAGTCCAACTTGCAGGTGCAATAGTCACTAAAAAAAGGTAAAAGAAATTAAATTTCTAAGAAGAAATAAAGGTTTGCAAGAAGGAAACTGAGAAGAAAGAAATAGCAAGCATTTCTTCTCCATTTTTCAAAGCAACATGGGACAACACTTCACAAATGAAGAAGGAGAACAGGTTGAGATTGACGTGGCTGAATTGCAGGAATGGTATAAGAAGTTTGTAATGGAATGTCCAAGTGGGACACTCTTCAAGCATGAATTCAAACAATTCTTTGGGGTTCATAATAATGAAGAAGCATCAGAGTATGTGGAAAGCATGTTCAAAGCTTTCGATAAGAATGGGGTAAGCATCTTACAACTGATATTAAAAGTTGAAAGTTCACATTCTGGTTTCTAAATGTGGAGTTTCCCTTTTGGCTTGATGTTATGTGTTAATGCTACAATTAGGTAGAAATCACCTAGAAGCAAGTCCCAGAGAGCACAATAAAATTAATTTCTGAATGAGCTTGCAGAAAATGGTGTTATGTTTCAGATAAGAAATATGATAAATATGCCAGGAACTCAGGAAGTCCAGATTGCTGTTCAGGAAGAGAACTAATCAGTTAAATGTTGTATTTAATTGTCAGATTCTTATTATTCTTTGATAGAATATTGATAGACTTTATCATCATCATCTGAATAGAATTGTTCAAGACCCTAAGATACTACTTTTAAAATAAATAGTTGTTTGGTCAAAATTCTCCCAATACTTTTGACAGTTGTGTCCTATAGCATTCATTATTTCCAAAAATTGGAGACATTCTGATGAATTGTAGTGTAGCATTTTATAATATTTCCAGAAGGAAAAAAAAGTAGGGGGGTTAGAACTGGAGAGATTAATGTCATTGTTATAATTTATTTTGGTAAAGAAGCAAATGTAGGTTTCATGCTGACATTTCTGTGAAGTGGAAAAATGGTTTTATTTTTTAATGCAGTGATAGTATCAAATGCATGAAATACCTGGTATTCCTGATATAAAAAGGCATTTAATTCTGCTCAAAACATATCGGTGTCTTAGTGGCTTTGGATCAAATAAATTGTTCTGCTCCAAGATAAGCAGTTTAGTTACAAAAAACTGGAATTTTCTCACTACATGTATTATTTAAATACAATGTAAATGCCAAAGGCATTGTAATCAACCCCTGCTCATTCATTTTATAACCTTATGGTAATGTCACAATACTTTATATTATTCATGCACCCATGTCCAGTCAGAAAAAAGTAATAAAACATAGTGTACTAAACATGGCATTTGAATGTGCTTCAGTTTTTAAGAGAATATTAGGATACAGCATTAAACACATGCAAAAACATTTTAAAAATCAGCCTCTTTAGTTCCAGTGTATTACAAATAAACATTTTCAGCCCCATACGTTTTATGTGTCCATGTATCAGCCAAAAGAGTAATAAAATATGCATAGGATCATATGGTCCTAAAATATCCTCACCCACATGACATGGACTAGGAATGCTTCTACACGATGAAAATAAAAGACATTTGGATTCCAGTCATCCTAATGATATTCAGATGTATTTTTTATTTTGCTGTGGAAACACCCATGGTTTTGTAATTTCACTAATAATTAATTTAAAAAGTTAATAAACTATTACAGGAGGCATCTATAGTTAGGAGATAAAGTTTCTAAGAAATAAGGTGATTTTCTCATTTGTATGGGATTACTTTTTTGACAATATAATTTTAATGCAAAATATTTAGTGCAAAATTAATTGAAAATGCCTATTTTGTAACATGATGGTCTTGTACAATTACTGCAACATTCTACCTTTTAACAGATTTTAACTGGGGAGGGGGGGGGAAGAGTGGAAAAAGCAGTGGAAATATATTGGAAGAATATAAATAGATGAATGAGTGTTTTCTTGAAATCTCCATGGCAGGAGGAATTGCACAATAAGAACCTGGTCTGAAACAACTGTTAAATTTTTCTATTGGGTTTTGCATACTTTAGCAATGAGTTCTTTTGCTCTTGATGTCTCTTAACTAGAGGTAAAGGCATGTCATCTCTAGTATGACACAGGTTCTGCTTTCCTCTATGGAGATAGTGTTGAATTCATTCATTCATTCATTTGTTCGTTTGTTCATTCATTCATTTGGTTTATATGCTGCAAGATGTACAAAATAATATAAGGGTTCAATAATCCTGTGAGGTGATTGGGCTGGAAAAGACTGGGCCAAATTTACCAATCAGCTTTCATTTCTAAAGCTTGTAAAGAATAGCTTATGCTATATGACTACTATACACTCAGTTAACTTGGCTTATTTGATATACCATATCTAATTAAACTATAGTTTAGGTGATGTGTGAATCCCATCTTTAATAAGAACACGTCATTTTTAATGAGCAAATAGCAGTTGCAGAAATGGAGATTCTCATTCATCCAGGTCATGGTTGTCCCAAAGATGCTTTTTTCAAATGGCAACTGGACTTTCTTGGGTTTTTTTTCTTTGAAAATGTTTTGATTCTCATCCAAGAAGCTTCTTCAATTTTTTTTTTCAAACAAAAAGAAAACCAAGAAAGTCCATGTGTCTTTTGGAAAAAAACTCCTTTGGAACTGTTGCAGAAATCCTAATTCAAATCAAAACTTCTGCAATGGAATATGTTAACCATTTTCCATTGACTTGTTCTAATCAGACATACAGATGCTTTGTCCTGGAAAAGAAAAGCTTTTCTACTCGAAAAGGTTGCATTGAGAAAAAGTAATAGCAACACATATCTGCCAACAGCAGGTTCAAATTCCATCTTACCTCTCAAGATGTCATCATTGTCATCCTGATGGTAAGTCAAACTGCTATAAGCGTCCTTTCACTATGGCAAACATGACCTTAGTATGTCCTTTTCTATTAGATTCTTCCAGATGTTGACACTGTTTTTCCCACTGCCTATTTTTGTTTTTCCTGGCTTCAACTTGGAAAATTTCATTCAGCTTTTTAACTTTGTTCTTTATTACCTTTAGCTTTGACTGCCCTTCGCATATTGCATTGTGTATATATTGCATTATATATTGTATTTTAATATTAATGCAATATATAGGTGAACCAGGTCTGTGGTTCTCTAGCTAAGCATGCACCAGATGTCTGTGGAGATTCTCAATCATCCAGGTCATCTAGTTTAATGGTGTCATCACACAGCCACTTATTTGTTCTCAACACATTTAGCAACTTGTTTACTTACGCAGAATGCAAATCCTTTTCATCTGATGATATCATTTCCAGAAAAATAAATCATAAAATCTTCTGATGTGAATTGATCATTGCCTGTCCAGTGTAATTCACTGATACCAAAATAATTAAATAAAACGTGATTATTATGTCATTAGAAGATACAAGATGTTCTTTTTCAGACCTTCCTTCTCTCTTTTTCATACAAACTAGCTGATTTCATTTCATTGAAAGTTTAACTATTTTATTTGAAGTTGTTTTTTCTTCTCTCCCTGTCACCCCTGCACAAATAAAAAAGAAGCCACCAATTCAGCTGTTTACTATTAATTTGGGGGAATCTTCTCCAGTCCTCAGAGGTTATGAAAAAGAGGCACAGGAGCCATTGGCAGCTCATGACTATAAGTGATGTATTGTGTGACAGAGCCACAAAACAATAAATGCACTGCTAAATTGATTGCAATTAAAGTGACTATTTTATGTTATCAGGATAACACCATTGACTTCTTAGAATATGTGGCTGCTTTGAATCTGGTTTTGCGAGGGAAACTGGAACACAAACTAAGATGGACATTCAAAATATATGATAAAGATGGAAATGGCAGCATAGAAAGACCTGAACTCCTAGAAATAATTGAAGTAAGTCAAAATGTGTAATGTTTTTTGCTGAATGTTCTTTTTTCATCTAAAATTTATTCTTTTAAAAAATGTAGTGTCCACAACACACAATCCCTCCAAAAGAAAGAAGGAAGATGAATAGAGGATTTTCCTGCCTTTACATTTTAAGCAGAAGTTTAGGAACAAATGAAAGAAAGAGAATGGATGTTAATTCTTTTCTGACTTATGTTCCCAGTTTGTTTAAGAGCAAACGAACAGGTTCCACTAAGACAACAAATTATTTCTTCCTGTTTAATTTTACCTTCCCCTCAGAAAGAAAAATGGAATATGAGAAGATAAACTATGTGTATTAGGTTTTTTTCCCAGAACAAATCTGAAATCCTGGGTTATAGATAACATTGCTAATATATGTTTCATTGTAGTTTTCCAATTGTTTCTTTCATAACTAAAGTATGTTTCATTGTAGTTTTCCAATTGTTTCTTTCATAAATTCATATTAAAAATGCAAAAAACCTGCAGAATGCAATGTATCTGATACAGCACTAGGAGTCCATATAGAAACAGTCTATCTCACTTGTCCTATACATTTCCTTAAAAGTTTATTTTGTTATATTTAACTTTGCAAATACTTGATCAAGCTATTCATCAAATTTATATGCATATCTATCTCAGAGGTTTACATATACTTTATTATGTGACTCCCTCTTAATACTATAAGTTTATTTTATTTCCAGGCTATTTATAGCATTAAGGAAGCATACAAGTCTGAAGAAGAAAGAGCTGTTCCTGGTCTCACTCCAGAAGAGGTTGTGGAAAGAATATTTCATCTTGTAGATGAGAATGGAGATGGTAATAACTTGATTTGAAGCCACACTGATGTCTTATTTGAAATTATGGTTGGCAATATGATGCCCTTCTAGATCTTTTATAACACAAAAGTTCCCAAAACATCATGGCTCTGTACAAGTCTAACGAGAATTGCATCTCAACATTTCTGGTAGCAACAGATTGCCTGTGCCTGATGCAAGTAATATACAGATTTAATCCATGTTCTTTAAAACATGGATTTTTTAAACTAACATTTTAACAGTTATTGACTTATCAAGTGACAGTGATGTGGTCAATGAGGATTACTAGGAGCACACTCACGTTATTTTCTTTTTTACAAAAAATAATATTTGAATTATTTAATTACAGATTTTTTCAAGTTTTATTTTTTTAAATATGGGGAATGATAACAGTATTTGAATAATGTTTAAACAAGCATTTGGCAAAGTTCTCTATGTTCACATCAGCTCTAGGGAGCGACCGCATGCTGCATAATGCTAGTGATTGGAAACTTAAGCTTTCTCTTTCTCATTCTCTAATAGACACCCAGATACATTATCTCTACTATTCAACAGGGGTGGAAGGCAGAAAAAGAAATCAGTTTCCCAGATGGTGACTCATTCACCTCAATTTCTGTATAATATTGTGGCGAATACCTTCCCGAATGATTCATTTCCAACACACCTAAATATTGCATTATCTGGTTTGTTCTTTCCAAATTTGTTGTAAAATTTCATGACTTTTTAAAATATTTATGAGAGGCAGGTGACCACCCAGCAAATTATGTTTCTGAAATTTCAAATCAGACTTTCCAAGTAACTCTGCCTTAATTAATTGTTCTTGAATATCACTGCCCTAGTTGAAGAAAATATAAAGAATTCTATCTGTTCTCAATCAAAGAAGCAACATTTTGATCTGTTAGTATACATAGCAGGATTGGATCTCCCCCATTCTTAACATACTACTTATGATTTCTTTCTTGACTTTGATTCTTTAGGACATTTATCTCTGGATGAATTCCTTGATGGAGCACAAAGAGATAAGTGGGTGATGAAGATGCTACAACTCAATGTAAGCCCAGGTGGATGGATTGCCAATCAGAGAAGAAAAAGTGCAATACTTTAATCATTACTTGTATTATTTCAAAGTGTAATGAGAAAAAAAAGCATCCCTTGTCCTTCATTCTATTTTTTTCTTAGTAGCAACAGGCTGAGCTCTAGGGGAAAAAATAACAACCTAATGCTACTTTTTAAATCATTCTGCTGTGCATCTAGGCCACTGCTGTGTAACAATTGCTATTTCATGGTAATTTGAAAAAATAAAAACCACCTGAAATGTAGGGATGAGGACTATATGGGTGGCTATAGCTGATTTTGGGCTATTGACAGTGTTGGCAAAAGGCCCAACTCACAACTCAGGACACTAGCAACTACCCCATATTGCTTACTTCTGACCCCAGACTTAGTTATGAGAAAAAATGATATGCTTAAAAATAATGTCTGGGCTATATATTTCACACAACAAGTAGTATCATATGATCAAATGCTCTGTTAAACCGAAGTCCATATATAGAGAAAATTAGCATATCAGGGAAAAGCTAATGTTTTGTAATCTTATAGGGAGAAGCAAATAATCCAGTTGCAATGGTTTGCAAACTATCTGGTTTGCACAATATATTGAGTTATAAACAAGTCAGATACACTGTAGCTTAGCATTTTGAGCACACTCAACCATTCAGTGTGAATGTAGCCCAAAACAGCATTAGTAGATGCTGTTGACATTCTCTTCAGCATACTGATTTTTATAGATGGTACATGGAATGGATGAAATTCTCTGCAGAAAAATGCAAAAAAACTTTTGGAATATTGAAATAATTTGATTTCAGTGAAAAGGGTTAGGGTTAGGGTCTCTTAGCAACAATAGTAACTAGATAAAGGTCAGAAAAGATGACAACACCGTACTTCCAGTAAGTGGAAGTGTTAACCTTGTTTTCTGAAACTGGCTTAGAAAACAAAAAGAGTTTTCATAAGTTTCCTTTGGCCCCTGCTGCTCATAAAAGAACAGTCTCCGGATCTTAGAATTTTATGACCACAGGTTCAACCAATGTTAAAGTTGCAAAAATATCAGATGAGGAGTACAACATACAATTTTTCTTATGCATAGGAACTTAAACATTTTATACTAAGATCTTAATATTGTGCGCAATATAAGTGTAAAAGTTTGCTGAATTTCATAAGCTGCACTGGATTTATTGTTAAGTATCATTACATCTACCTTTGGCTTTGGTCTTTCTGGTCAACTTGGAGATGAGAAGAAGCTATTTAATGGTATAGCTTTTTCAATCGCTTTGCTGGAGAGATCCCTGATAAAAAAAATTATGCCCCAGTTCTGCTTTCCCCAAATTTTATCTTTAATTGTAACTTCTTCACAAAAAATCCACAGGTTCAATATCTGTGCATAGTAACTACTTTGCGTGATAGATATATACCTTATCAACTTAACATAATTCCCATTCTCAATACTATAGTAATTAGGTAAAAGAAATTCTGCAAATTCTTAATTTATCTGCAATCAATACCTGCATTAATTCTAGGTAAAAGTTAGAATCTAAAAGTGTATGTGACTTAGATTTAGACTTTTGTCCCATGGCAAAATCAAAATACACTTTTGATTGTCATACCTTTTTGTGCCCTCCCAAAATCCTTGATCTATACTCTGTTTTCTGGGATATCCCATATAGAAATAAAGATGTGAGTTCATTCTATGCATTCATGCTTTTTATTATTATTATAGTGCCAGAAAATTTTAAATCCATGATTGTAATAGCTACTTGTGTGCCAAGAAAACAGTTCTGTGATTATGGTTTTACATGGATCTCATATAGACAATGCCATGTAATCTTTGAGAACACATATTGATTTCCCAAAGTGAAATAAACATTTTTTATCTCACATACAATCTATGTGTTCCAGGTGCTTAACACACCCAACAGTCCTGGCAGCTAATACTGGGCAGGTACGGGGAGTGTTGAAAAGGGAGACCAAACCCAAAGTCTTAATTTCTTTGTTACCCCAATTATCTCTATTTCATTCTTTCTCTTTAGTTTATTAGCCAGCTTCATTTTTGTGGTACAAAGAGAAGTTGTTAGTTATTTTCATATGACGTTTATGTCAGAGATGGGAGAAAGTCAGAACATTTTATTCTGGAATAGTTTTCTTCCAACTCAAGGATAGGTGAAAGCCCTTTAAGTTATCATGACTTCTTTTCAGGGATCCAGCCAGTCATATCCTCTTATAGAATACTGTATATTTGTCAAAAGTCTACAAGGCCAATTGCTCTCCTTATACAGACAGTTTTTCTCCCTAAATTCCCCAGAGTTGCCTCAAAGGAGGCGGGTGGCAAACAAATTTAATAAATAAAACAAATAATGCCTTCAGTTTTGTACAGGCTAATTTCCTCTACTGAATTAAAGTGCTATCCACCTACCATTGAGTTGGAAAATCTATGTCCCCGTTGGCAATTCTTAACTCTGCTTCTATTATCTTTGTTCATGTTCACTGCCAGCTACCTGATTTTCTTCCAAGGCAGCAATGGTGACAACACTTAATAGATTTTATGCATCTTAAAACTGTTGTTGGATAATGTCAGAATATAGAAGATAATACCATTCCTTTAATACCAGTACAACTAATGCAAGTTTGTCTCTCACTCATGAAATAAAATGCAGGTAGCATCATAGGGACAAGGAAAGCAATAAGAATTGCCATGACATGATTGTGCAGTGATTAAGTACAAGGGGGAAAATAATTTAAGATTTCATGGGATGCTAAGAATTTCCCATCCTTAATGGGTTGAAGGCTTGTTTTTGTTTTGCTTCAGTTTCATTTCTTCCCTTTTAGCTATTATTTCCACTTTTAATTTAGTTATTTCTAATACCTGTATAATTGAGACAAGGGCAGTGCAATAGCTCAGCAGTTAAGATGGTAGGCTTGGAAAGCTGACAGCATGGGTTTGAGTCCTGAGAGCCAACCATAGATGTATAGATGTACAGCTTCCCTTTATCGCCTGTGAATTGGTGAAATCTTTTCATCTAATAAAGCTGTGTGTGTATGTTATGAAATTAAGGGTCTGATTGTGTCAGACGAAATCCTGCTGCAGGATTCAAAAAGTTAGTTGGTGATTTAAAATTTCCTAAAGCTTACATGCATACTCCCATGGCCCAATTATACAGTTTGAGAAATCTTTATTCCAAACCTCTGATGTCTATGTATTTGTGGTGGTGGAGAAACAGCTTTCTAGATACTTGTTTCTGGGATGAGACAATTGATAGCTAAAGACCCATTTCTTGCTTCCCCTAAAGGATTTCAGGGCTTAGGGAGGTAGAAAAAGAAATGGGGAGAAGGATGAGTTCTCACTGTAAAGCTGTCCACTACCATCACCACAAAAGTAGGTGCTTACTCTCATCTGTAGAGTGAATTGTTAAAGTTACCAATGTTAATGGACAGATAACCACTCTATCCATTACCAAAACAAGACACATATATAAACTGAACCTCCCACTCAAAACGAATCTAGCCCATTCTATTGCTTGGGCAGGGAGGGGAGAGAAAGGCAGAAAACTTTTTGTTTTGATTTTACTATAAATAAGGCTTGATACACAGCAGTCTTCTGTAATGGCCTTATAGATTTTCTACAAGAAATTCTACTTCTCCAAGCCTTTTGTGTTCTTTGAAATCTATCAAACCTTTGCTTTGCTACCCAAGAGAAACCTAAAAAGAGTCCTGTACAACATCACTTGTTTTACTGTGCAACTCACTGTTATCATCTCTGAGATCAGATGATGCAATTCCTTGTATGTGGGAAGGATAGAATCTATCTGGTAAGGCAGTCTCCCCCCTTTTGGCCCATGGATTAGCTAGCATAAGGCCAGTTTTGATTAATGAGCTAGTTTTCCTCCTCCCATAAGAAGTGATTTCCAATTTGTTTCCTACCAACTGGTGACACCAATCATTTAGCTAATGCCCCACATTAAATCTTGGATAAACAGTGCCAATCACTGGCCTCGCTGAAGCCAAACATAGCTCAGCAGTGCAAACCTGCCACCAGACATTAGTTTTGCCTATCAACTCCATGAAAGCTCATTGCAGTGGCAGGTAGAAAGAGATCTTGAAGAGCCAGTAAAGAAAGTAGCATAGAATCCACAATTTGGTATCAGTTTCTTTTTTTAATCTCACTGACTATAGTGGTTGTTCGGCCATAAAGAACTGGATAATTGAATAGAGAATACTGTACATAATTACTCTCTATTCTGATAAAGGTTTAACAAAACTTGAGTATGAAAAATGTCTTGGTATCAGAAATACATAACATTTTTGTGACATGAATAAAAATTAAAGGGGTGTAATTTTAAAAATGGCCAGTTGGTGGTATTCTAGGCTATGGAAGAAACCAAAACAGAAGATTTAAATACAAACAAACAGGACAAAGATATCTCATGAAAATCCTTGCAAGTTGAATTCTTCACAAATTTTAATTCCTTCCCCTGCAAGTGCAGTACAGAAAAGCAGCTCAAATTGAGTCTCAGTTACATAAATACACATAAAAGATATTTTGATGAATAATAAGATACATTAAAAAAGCTAAAAGAGTGCATACAATGAATAACGTCCTTTATCATGATAGCAGATGATAAAGGGGTACAAGTGGGAATAGAATTCTGGCTTTAAAGTCTGGAGATAATACACATTTTAAGGGACTAAAGATCTATGTGGGTGTTTTATGGAGCAATCTAATGAGGAAACAGGACTGAAATATAGTTGATAAAAGATAGTTAACAATAAATCCTGCATGTGGTATAAATAATTCCAGAGTAAATAAACTGATAGCCAAATGGTTTTGAGCATTTTATGATTCTAGAGATGTTTTTGTCAGTCAAGCTTAAGGAATAAATTGTTTAACCACCAACATGTAAATAGCTTGGTGAGCAAAAAAAATGAAATTGTTTGATATGAATATATTGTGTTGGGGAGTCATAACAATATTGTATGTCAATAAGTCATGCTCATTATTCCTTATCTCAGCCACTAATACCCTGGCTAACTCTGTATTACCTTCCAAGGTAGTCTCTTCCTCTCCTCTCCTTTTTTCAAAAGAGGTGGAGGCTTTAGACTACGCTGCCAGAACTACCATTTTAAACTTCTGGCCAGCCCCACGAATGCCACTGACTCCCCTGCTCAAGTTTGTTGCAGTTTCCAGCAGCTATAGTTCATCTTTATACCAAGCATTTTGGAAAAATGAAAAAAAAACACCATATACAGTACTGATTCCAAAAATAAAAATCTCAAACCGATGATTTTATAAAATGCAAACTTTAAAGTGTCTTTTCATTGTACTACAAGTATAAAAAATAAAATAAAATCAGACATGTAAACTGAAATATATAAAGAAAATCAGAGAAGTCTACATAAACAAATCTAATATAAAAATACTTAAAACTCAAGGAAATTATTAATTCCAGTATCAGTTCAATCATTCTCACACCTGCCTATATTTATTATCAGTGGGTATGGCAATGATAAGGAAAGGCAAGTGTGTTGCTATATCAAGTACCCTAGAATATTACAGTTTCCATAAAGTACTGTGGCACAGTACTTATTTTGAAGCTAAAACACGAAGAAATAATGCTTGTTTTCCTTTTGTTTGAAGGAAATGCTTAAAGCAAGCATTATTCCCCCCAAAATCTAATTTATGGAATTAGATCTTAGAGTTTTTCCCCCTTCCTTTCAAGTATAATGTCACTTAATCTGCTTATTCTCTTACTTTTCTCAAGAAATGACACCACCATTTTATTCATTTTGTGTGGCAATTTTCAGCCCCATTGTTCACGTCAAAGATGACACATGCAACTCAAACAGATCTTTATTCATGCCACCACTGATTGGTAAAAAAAAACCCACCTTACAATAAAAATTTGACTGAACCATGCAGAGTTCTGCATGTAGGTTTTGTAATTCATACTTGAAAGTACTTTCTAGTACTTTCAGGTACTTTATGAGTCCTTAATCCCTGTTATTAAATTAATATTTTATTTATTTTTTATTTATCTTACTTACATCCCATTACTATTATTTTTTACAAATAACTCAAGGTGATGAACATATCCAACATACCATCCTCCTATTTTCCTCACAGCAACCCTAAGAGGTGAGAGATGGGCTAAGAGAAAATGAACGGCCCCAAGGTCACCCAGCTGGCTTTCATGGCTGAGGCAGAAGTAGAACTCACAATCTCCAGCATTCAAGCCTGGTGCCTTAACCACTAGACCAAAACTAAAAGAGAAGTATTTTCTTCTAGTCAAGTATATATTGGTGCTTTCACATAATTATTCTTTGTTAAAAATGTAATCACAAATGTTCAGAATTTCTCTTACAAAAGTCAATTGTTTTCTGTATTTTTTAAAGAATGGATGTTTCATTGTAGTCATTGTAATGCTTAGGCTACAAAATGCCTAATAAATGTATACCATTTAAAGCTTAATCAATATAGATAACAAAATATATAACAAATAACAATAACAAAATATTGTTATTTGGGCAATATTATTCATGTATTAAAAAGAATTTCTGAATATGCACAAAGGCTTATATCAAAGGATTTGTAATAGACTTATAGACTCAAGGTCAATTTGAGTAAATAGGATTTGCAGCACTGATTTTAAAGAACCATTTTTAGATATTCACGAAGTAGAAGGTAATCAGTAGTTCCACTGCTGCTTAGGATAATCAAAAAACAGACCTTCTAACCAAAGCTGTATTTTTCAACTTAATTTAATTCTCTTCTAACTTACTTGTGTCCTCACCATAAGAAGCAACCACAAGAAGCAGTCAAAACAACGTAAGGCATCTTGTAGATCTGTCTCAAAATACTCTTATACTTATGTTCCTCACTGATGCTTTAAAGACCAAATAAACTAAGAATTTTCTTCCATTTTTATGTGTTCCTCTGACCCAGAAGCATTGATAACTGCCTTAATTTTCTAGGTCAATCTGATGTCTTCATCAGTTGGTGATAACAATTATACAGTGTGTTTATAATAGACAGTGCCTCTTTTACATACAACACAAATATTCTAAGTTGTTACAATTTTAGTGTTGAGTTTTTGTAATATTTTTTATTTAAAAAACAATAGTTTTCCTATTCATTTTTTGTGGATGTTCCAGATGTTTCAGGGTTCTTTCCATCATTCTGGATCATTTCAAAGATGTGTTTCAGATCTAAACTACGGGTGAGAATGTCAAGTAGAACTTCATCTTTCTGTACTCCATCTATGAATTCTTCAAGAGACAAATCACCTATAGAAACAAACAAGAAAATTTGGTTCGTGTATGGCCTGCCGAAATGAATTAAGGCTGATTTTGTGAACAATACAAAGCATGGGTATCCAGTTAGTACAGAGATGTCAAACTTGATTTCATTGAGGGTTGTGTTTGACCTTGGGAGGAATGGAGGGCATGACCAGGGGGGCTCAGTATCACTCATGTTGGGGTGCCTGTGGCGGCCCGAGCGCTCTGCCAGTGAAAATGGGCTCCCAAGCTCCATTTCCAGCTGTGATGGCCTTCTGCAACCCTCTACCAGTGAAAACAGAGCTTGAGAGGGCTGCATGTGGCCATTGTGAGCTCCATTTTTGGCTGCAACGACCTTCTGCAACCTTCTGCCAGTGAAAACGGAGCTCGGGACGGCTGCCCTTCTGAGCTTCATTTTCACTGGCAAAGGCAATGTGGGCTAGTCCTTCAGTGTTTCCATGGTGGCCTCGCAGATCTAAGCACCCCATGGGCTGGGCCCAGCCCGCAGGCCTTGAGTTTGACACCCCTGAGTTAGCACTAACTGCATCATCCCCTTGTGCTTAAGTCTGGTCATTTTTTGAAAAAGAAAAAAAAGTTGTTGTCTTTCCTTATGCTTTTGACAAATACAAAATTCACATTTCTGTGAGAACATTAAAAAGTTTCATGGATCAATCAACCAAATTCAAATCCATGAGCATTTGCCATCTGTAATGGAATTTAGAATTGATCTTGGAGGTAGAGAAAAAAATGAACAAGCAATTAAGTTTATTCAATCTTGAGAAAGAGGAGAACATGAGAAAGAAACTCAAAGCAACCCTACCTTGATTATATATGGTATAAGATAGGACAGGGAGAAACTTGGACAGCTTTCAAGGTTCTGTTATCCTATCCAAAACAAGCATTCCTGGAATCCCTGCCATGCCTGTTTCTTGATCTAGCCTGCATCAAAGGCTGACATCAAACTTCAAAACCTGTTCAAGTTTCTCTCTGTGGATAGATGTAAGACTCAAAACTGAAGCAGCTGAGTGAATGGATGGGATAGGCATATGGGTTTCATTCCACTAACCATTTTCTTACTTTTGCATAAGAAAATGCAGGCTTCAGCTTGTAAAATAACTCTTCTGCTTCTGATCTTAAATAACTGGAAGACCTGATTTCTGGACCTCAATATTTAGCTGGTTTTAGCTTTACCTTTCTCTTCTTGAAGTGTCCTTTGGGCATTGATTATTATTTCTTCATATTTGAGACTAATTTGAAGTGGTGGTGGATGGAAATAAAATAGACTTCAAGGAGGTACAATTATTAACTGTTTAGCTAGATTCAGTTAAGTCCATCTAGCCAAATAGAAATGGGATAACATTCAGTGCATTCTGAACATTGACAAATTGTTAATTGTAACCTTTTTCCTACTCAGATATTACAATATTTATTTTATTTGTTTATTTGTTTGTCAATCATATATGAGAAAACAAATATAAATATGAACATAGCATATAAATATATAAGTATAAACAGGTATAAGTATATATATAATAAATGAACACACACACAGATACACACACACACACACACACACACAATCCAATATACTGTTGGATTGTATCCAACCAGTAAGTTTCTTACCATCTCCATTTATATCAATTTTATTGAACACCATATCTGTGAATTCCTCAGCTGACATGATTTCTTGACATGGATTAATGGTGCGAATTGCCTGAAAAGAAATATATACATATATAACATGTAAAAGATCTACATTCAATTTCAATGAAAAAAGGTCTACATTCAATCTATAATGAAAAGTGGAATTGACTGAAGAAAACATTGAAGAAAACAATTTACCTTAATGATGTTTAACAACTCATCTCTGTCAATACAGCCATTCCCATCGACATCATACAACTTGAAGTACCATTTTAATTTCTGTTCCACTTTCCCTTTTAGAACCAAGCTTAGAGCTGCCACATACTCCATAAAATCAATGTAGCCATCCTATTGAAGAGCAGAAATGACATATCCATTAATTTAAGTAAGCTAGAGCTATACTTAAAGCTACAGCTTTTATAAGTGTTTTTGAACTTGTGCTTTATGATTATGATTATTGCTGGTGTTGCAGTTATCATCTTATGTTGTAGTTATCCTCTTGAGTTTGAAAGTTCTTATTTAAAAATTATTATTTTTTCCTTTTTTACTGATTATTTTGCTTAAAGCCAAACATTCTTGTTTTAGAGTGAAAGTTAAAAGACCAGACCAGTATATTTTGTAAAGAGTAAAATTTGGGATTATTTCTATGATAGCATAGCCAGAAAGGAACTTTTCTGCTGAAAACTGTCCCATGCAATTATATAATAAAATTGCTACAGGTAATCATAAAAGTAGATAGTACTGTATGGGGAAATGTTCAAACACAGGATGTTTTAACATTAATTTCAACTGTCAACATTCAATCCTGATGAGCAAAGAAAATAAATATGGCACTTTTTCAATCTGCCTTATAGGCCTTCAATTCTTTGCACATTGTTTCTTAAGATAATAGTATGCTATTAACTATCAATAATTTGCTGGTCAATTGATGTTCATTGGTGTTATGAGGTCAAAACAAGGTTTTCAGGGACAGAATAGTGCACTGAGTTTAGGAGAAATTAAGACTACAAACTAAAAAGTCATGTTGGGCATTTCCTAAATGGGCCAATACAAATTAATCAACCCTATAAATTAATTTAGGAAAGAACAGATTAGGAAAGGAGAGGCAAGCTCACTTCATCTGTAATGGTATTCAATGAAGTTGAAAAATGGTATCACAAACTTGGCACACCATGAATAACTCTGTTTGTACAGATGAATTTATTTATATAATACCATAGTTGGAATTAAGGCAGCTTGACTAAACAATTCATAAAAATTATATCCTGCTGAATAATACAAGACTCATTTTTGCATAAATATTTCTATAGGCTAGATTTGCCCATTTGCTACTTGTTTGACCCATTGGGTAATGAACCTAATCAAGGCCCCATTGTAATTTTGATTTCTTTGTCCATTATTACCAAAGTTTGGGATTATATCAGAGCTTTGCTTGTATGATAGGATTTAATAAAATTAGAAACAAAAGCTGTGATTTCAGCTTGAAAGTCTTGTTCAGCACATAAACAAATACTTGGATATACATATATAGTGAATGAATGATGATGATTTAACAGTTCAGTAATGAAACATCTGCAAACAAACGTTAGAAAGCATCAAGAATTCCACATTCAAACATGAATTACAAAGGATGTAGAGATTGATACAAAATAGTACGTGAGAATATTGAATGATTAAGACTGATAATATGTATTAATATCAAATTATGTAAGAAAGTTAATAATATCAATGTGAAAATATATTTAAAAAACCATGAATTACAGATATTTTCTTCTATTGAAATATATATCTGCTAGATTGAATATATATCTGCTTAATTGCCTTTGATTACACCCTAGCTTTTATAGAATAGCCTATATTTCTGGACCCTATAATTGTTGCATATCTTCCATGTCTTACAGAGTTTTTCTGTTAGAAGAATTACTATCATTAACTTTTCTTCTATACGATCTCTATTCTGCCTGATTTCTCAAGGTCAAGCGTGTGTGGTCCATCTCCATATCATATAATGTAATTCACATGAATTTAGCATGTCACTAAATTAAGCTGATTTTTATTTTTGATTTGACTCTTCCGAGCCAATGTCTCTTTGGAACCTATGCATTACAGCTAGGAACTCCTTGAATCTCCTTGAAAGGATTTTGCATGCTTCAATCTATTTTGCTTTGACACAGAGACGCATGAAGTTAAACTGTTCAAGTGCAAAGCTGACCCAACAAGAAAGCCCAGCCTGCTTCTTTAATGTCAACAACAAATGATTCCACATTTAAATGCTTTCCCTCAGAAAGAGCTGTTTTCCTCAAAGTAGGGACGCTGCATTCTGAACCTGGTTCCCTATCATTGTTAGTAGCCAATAGTCAAGCTTCATAATATGACTTAGTTGAAATCATGAACTTCATAAGATAACTCCATTCTGGACTGTTGGAACTATAGTCCCCCCAAATTCCCTCCAGCATTTTTATCTTTGTCTTACGGAAAGCTGATTCAGCGTTATCATTTTATATTTGCACAATTACAACTGATTGATACTGTTACTACTTGCTACATTGAAATTAATTGAATATGAAAAACATTTTTGTAGGGTAGTAGAGACTGTAGAGACTGATATGTAGAGACTGATCTAAAAAAGTAAGTGACACGAGAAAAACTGGAGCAACCTGATGTGTAGAAGGAAATTACAATGAAAATCATTCTGTTCCATTTCTACTTACGAGTCTTTTAATGAGACAATTCTAAGCTTCTGAAGTCTAGGCTTATTCTTTTAAATCACCATCTAATCCAAAAATAATTAATTTAGCCACTGTAACAAACATTTTTTAAAAGATATACCATGATTTATTGGTATAACATAATCATAAAAACAATTTGAAATATGACATAGGAAGTGTATGCAGAATTAATGCTGACATAATGCTTTTGTGCTTGAGTTAAAACTAATCATTATAGTTAATTTTCATAGAAATAAATGCTATCAACCAAAGTAGAAAATGAATCAATACATATAAGTTATTTCATTGACCATTGCATAATAGATTGTGTACATCTTGCTTGTCAGCACAAGCAAAACTCTTGAGGCACATTAAAAATTAATAAATCATTCTGGCATCATGTTTCATATATTACACTTATCCACAAATATATCATATAATAAATGTGTGGCTTTTTAAAGAACCACAATACTCCATATGGTTATCTTGATCAGATCAACATTTCTAAATCTTCTGCAACTTAAATGTTTACTCTGTCCATACACACATGTGCAAATACAGAATACTATAGGCAATAATAATTTATTAAAGTTGCAAACTTAAACTCTCAATGAAACTGAGAAGCTATAACTATTATATTAATCACTTACCTTATTAAAATCAAATGTCTCAAACATTTGTTCAATGTATTCATTTGATGGTTGACTCAGATTTTTCAATCCAAAAAACTGTTTAAACTCATGCAGAGTCAACTGTCCAGAGGGACATTCTGTCATAAACTTCTTGTACCATTGGTGACATTCTGTGGCACTCAGTTCTTCAACAGATTTGCCATCCATATTCCCCATATTTAAAGCTAAACAGAGATGCACGTCTTTCAGGAACAGTGAGGTATTCTAAAAGTTTTTCCCCTCTTTATTAAATTTTCATATAGAAGGGATAGCTCAGAGGAAAACTAATGAAGTAGAAAGAAGGACAGAAGCTGTTAAAAATAAACTTCTTTAATAAGGGGAAGTGAAGAAGCTCTTTGAGAGTTTTAAAATAGTGACAGCTTCTTCAAAGCAGCTTCTGATGTTTAAGTAGCGCTAAAGACTTAACACTAAATAGCCAATGAGAGAAAAGTCCTGTGATGGGTTACTAGTTTACAGAAAATTGAGACCAAAAATAGAACAATGTAATATGAGAGAGTAGTAGATTATAAGGTACAGAAAAAGATTAAATTGGCCATAACCATAGCTTTGAAAATAGCTTAATATTATATAATCCACTTTTCATTATGTCAGAGATGATTATGAGAAAACTAGAAAGAATTTGTGAAAACAATTGTTATCTTTCACAGTTCCTATTACTTTCCTTGTTGAACCATAAAATTTGAAAAGGCCATTCAATTTGAAAGCAGGCCCATTCAAATAAGGTTAAGCAATGCCCTCAACTGAGTTCTGAAGCTCATTGCGCAATAAACACAGTGCAAGAAACAATCCACTGGGTTGTATTGAATAACTATACATTGAGGATGAAACAAACAGAGCAAACTAAGTAGCATGTTATACATAACCATGTGTTCTGCTGAGGTATGCCTATAGCATCACATAGTAATGATAAGGCTAAGGAAAGAAATGTTTAATGACTTTCTTCATGTATTAAGTATATAATAAGCAGCATACTGTATCCGCCCTTGTGGCAGCTTTCCTGTTTTGTTATCTTTTACTAAAAGCCCTAAAATTCTGTGCAGACAGTGGTTGCTCAGGGGTATAAACAAACTGAATCAGGAAATGTGGGTATATGTTTAAGCTCCTTTCTACAGATTTTTGCACTGCAAAGGATTCTCTCAGCACATTCAGCTAACTTTTGGGAGCTCTGATGATCCAGAAATTCAGAAGAGGAAGGCCTGCTCATCATAGGAGCTCTGAATAGAGCAAATAGAGAATTCTTTACAGAAAATTCAAACACTTACTAGACAAGCAGACAAGACACAGGGCAAAGACCTTATAGATAGATGCACACACATCCCTACCCCATACTGGCACTCTACATTCATGTCTACCAAGCCAGTTTAGGTCAACTTATAGACAGATCAATTGCAGGTGTTTATTAGTTATTAGTATATCTGCATACTCTTATCAGTGTTGTTTGTTTTAGATTCCTTTTCCAACTTTTGTTCTAAACATAAAGTTTCCAATGCATATATGTGAATGAAAATAAAATGAAAATAATGTGTGAGAATATCCTGGTCTATCTTGCACACATGTTCCTCAGCCTTGCATATATTGCTTCACATTTCATTGTTTTAATATATAACTGTGTGTGCGTGCTTGTGTGTGTGTGTGTGTGTGTGTGTTGTATATTCACAGACTAGAATGCTTTCATATCAATTGTTTTTCTGAATTTCTTAACCAGCTCTTTAAAAACACATAAAAAGTCAGATGCTTTTAGGTCCTGTAAGAATTTATATAACCCTGTGCTTTCCAAACCTTTTTTCATTACTCAAAACCCTCTTATCAGAAAATCCTTTTTATTGCTTATCAGAAAGTCCTTATTTAAATGTACTGTTGTGATTGAATTTGTAGGTTGCTTAAAGAAAAAACACCTTTACTTAATTTTGGATAATTTACCCAGGTTTGGGAAGTAATGATGTAACCCAATGGAGTTAATTCACTAAACTGGCCTTGTAACTTTTATATCTATTGTACAGGTTAGTTATTAGATTCTGAATATCTCTGTCAGATGTGTCAAATTTGCTTTGTTACTGTGGTGTCACGTGACGTATTGGGATTTTTGCTCCCTTTGCTAAACCGGGCATAGGCGTAGCCAGCACATGACGCATCCAGCCCACAGGCCAGGAGTTTAACAGCCCTGATCCGTACGGTTATACAGTTCTGTTACAGAGATGTTAAGGAGAGAATTGTGGGTTTTTTTCATTGTAATACCCGGAAGTACGCTTGGCTCGACAAAGCAAATCTTAAATTGCTTTGGCTTTAGTTCTTCCTATTTCTCTGGGAATAATAAATATATGTGGTAAACAAAGCAACAAAGAGAAAAGTACTGCTCATTTGATCTTCATTTTGGTGCTTTTCTTGCTGGTGGGAGATCTACAGCTGTAGATGTTTCAAAGCCAAAGTAAGGCGGCTTTGATACCTTTCTTGTAGGACTTGATTTATTCCATCATAGTTGGTTCCAGAAGCTCTTGCTGCAAGCTCCCACGGCATCTGCTTTTAGGCATGCTTGGAGGATGACAGAGTTCAGATGAGAATGCTGTTAGGAAAGTCTCAGGAGAAACACATGACTGTTTCAGACTTTTGAGCCTTCTGAAGCCACACCTGGCTTTTTCCCCACAATAGTTCTCCATTTTGGAATATTTACTCTCTCAATATCCATGACTTTCCTTCGGTGGTCAGTGTCTCGGCAATACCGGTAGCCACAAGTTGGTTTTTGTAAAGTGTAAAATGGATTGTAGGAATTGGAGTAATTAGGGTTATAGAAGGCAAAGCTAAGATACTCGGGCTTAAATCCTCCTAGATGTATGACCCTAGGGACATATTCAGAAATTAAAGCCTGCTCTATCTTGTAGCCCAGAGCTATAGGACATTTCTTTTGCGGTTTGTATTCAGGATCTGATGACTTGAACAAAGCTTCAGCCCCTTTCTTCTTGTGTGCCATCTTGCAAGGCTTGACTTAAGACCTTGTCTTCATGGATAACTTGGTCTGTAAAGAGAAAAGCCAAGGGGAGGGTGAGAGATTTAGCCTCCCTTTTATACAACAAGCAAGAGGAGCAGCATTTGGCCAGTTGATTGTCCCCAAACTCTGGGCCACATTGTAAATGTGCAGAAGAATTCTGTGAATATTTGTGTTAGCCTGAATTCACAGCAAGGAGGATGTTAACAATAACAAGCCACCCACCATCAAACTCTTTCCCAAATTTTTTTAAAAACCCATTTTCCCCTAATGGAGGGGTATTTTAAATCTGAAACAAACTGATTAAAAGTAACTATAGCTAGGAAGAAAAAGAAATGGCGGGTGGGAAAACCCACTTTGAGATGTAAAACAAAGTTGAGATTTCCATCCCTAAAGATACTATCCAGCAGCATGTATTCTGTTATGACAGAAACAAAAGGGCCATCTTTTTCTACAGACATCTATATGTCTACACGCACTTTTTTTTAAAATTGAAGTAACTTCCTCTTTTCCTACCTTTCCAATTAATTTTGAAAATGTTTTCCGTTGCAGAAGAGGCCATGCAGTCGTGCTCCCCTACTGGAAAAACAACAATGAATCAAACCCTTCCCAGAACAACAATAAACAATCTATCCCCCAAGCTTGCCTATAGCTTTTGGCTTTTATTGCAAAGTAACAGAAAAGATGCCCAGCAGTTCCAGGCAGAAAGTAAAAGATTGAGAGTAAGAATCAATGTGTTCAGAGGGTATGGTGAAAAAAAGTCAAGACGCAGCCATGATGCATGACTCCACTTGTTTTTACATGTGTTGCACATATAATGCCCACAAAACTGTGCAAAGCTTCAATCACACTGTCACAGCTACATTTTTACTTTTTTGATCATACCCCGCGGACACTCTTGGTAGAAAGTGCAGCAGCTTGTCCAGATCAACCATTATTCCCTTCTTCTCTGTATTGACTCCATTGAAATTTGAAGCTACTTTCCAAACACCAAAACTCTTAGGAGCCCCAGAGAAAAATCAGGGTTCTTTCAAGCAGAAAGGAAAGGTTGCCTTTTCCCCCCAGCAATTTCCATACATGAACTGTCAGTCTTCTCTCCTGCTTCAAGAACCCTTAGCTAACTTGTGAGAAGTATGATAAGAAATATTAATCATAATCATCATCATCATCATCATAGCAGTTGGGAGAAAAATGCAGAGGAAAGAGCTCACAAGATGGGACATAAAGAGAAGGGGCTATTTGCTGAGGAAATCAAAAACTGAAACAAGTAAAAAAAGTCAAGAAAAAAATCTGAGTAAAGACTTTTCCATAGAGGAACTTATGGGCCACCCAGCACCTCTTGTCTTTTTAAGCAAGGGGTGGGATTCTATCAGTTCGAACCGGTTTGGGTGAATCCCTTGTTCTGAAGATCAGCTGGCAGCAAACCAGTTCGCTGCAACAAGCATGTGGGCCCCACCCTCCCGCCCCTACTGTTTCTTGTGCTTTATTTCCTTTGTTTGGAGCATAGCTGATTTGCGTGGCAGAGCAGTTTGCTGCGCCTCAGCTGTTTTATTCACAGGGACTGCAGTGGAAGGTAAGTGTTAGAGTTTTTAAAATGTGGAATGCGTGCATGGAGCGCTCACAAAGCAATCACCGAACCGGTTGTTATACTGGTGGAATCCCACCTCTGCTTTAAGCCCATCTGACTTTAAGCCATTTCAACTTGCAGGTCCTGTAGTTTGTCAAACAGAAGTCCATAACGTCAAATTTGCAAAATTACATGGGGAAAGAGAATTCCTAGTATTTTTATGAAAATATTGCATACTATTTGAGCTTTTCTGTGTCCTGGTAATATACACATACCTTCAACTGAGAAACATTGGTTTAAAGCAGCTAGTATGCTTTGGGGATCTCAGGGGCCCTGTTACCATCATGTCTTTCTGGACGATCTCAGTATAGGGAGCACTGTAGCAAGTCAAGTTCAGTGTGTAGTTTAATGCTGGACCATGTGTGTTCTACTGCCCCTCTCTAGCAGTAATATCTATAATTTATACATTTATTGTTATGACTTAAAATAGAAAATAGAAAACAAGGGTGAGGAACATACTGAACAATTACTTCCAGCCTTTCTCAACAGCTTGATCTGTCTTGACACTCACTATGTGCTTTTTCCAATGCCGAGAAAGCTCATCACCTA